TTTAGTCCTTACTAAACCACTGTGTATCAAGGATTTTAACACTGAAATCTTTTAAAATTTTATTTTGTAGTTCAAGTACAATCTATTGTTTACTGCACTTCTTCAGTTTACCCAGAAGAGAACGAACAAGTAGTGCAAAAAGCACTGGAATTTGGTGTGAAAGGAAAAAACCTGAAACCATTCAGGTATGGCATGAGTAGTTCTGTCTATGGAAAACTTGAAGTAGCATAGTTCTTATCTTAGTCCAATTTGTGTCTTGTATTAGATTAACAATATCACCTTCAGCTGCCTCTGATTCCATTATTTTTGATGTTAAGAGGTACTAAGTAGTACTCCTAATGTTTTCATTTATTGCTTTCCCCCATTAGAAGAGAACAAAGCTAGTTTAAGACAAGGTGGAGAGGGGAAGTTGGGAATTTGGTTGTTTGCACCCAGCTTCTGACCTGGAATCAGTTCCAAAGGAAAAAGGAGCCAAGTCTTAAATTGTGAGAACAATAGAAGAACGTCAGCCTCTGCTGCTCCACTGCTTGTGTTTGTATTCAGAGTGACTTTGGGGAGGATATAGGGATCAGGTTGTATTACCAAAGCATCCTGTATAATCACAACAGATACAAATATGTATGAAAAAGTTGTAATTCTGTTGTGTCTGTAATGTCTATGAAGCATTTACTGTATGGGGGAGAAAGTAGGAGGACCTTTGAGTTCTAAGGTCTCTGAGTTATTTGAATGTAAATAGTATACACATTCATTATTTATATCACAGAATTAATTCATAAAAAAAAAGGTGTTTTTTTTTTTTTTTTTTCAGGAGCTTTGACTTTTTTTCTTCAGGAAAAAAGTTCCCCTTTGTCTAAGACAAAAACCTCCCATTAGAAAATTTTTCAGAAATCCTAAAACTTCTTCAGTGTTTTGCAGAAACATCATGAAACTTGTCATCCCCCCACCACGTAACACTTCTGCTTTGAAATACTGGGTAATCGCAGATAATAAGAAATGTAAAAATGCATTGGAAGTTTTTGCAGAACTCAGCAAATTTGTGGCTGAGGATGGGCAGAACTTCATAAATAATGATTCTAGACTTAGTTCATCCTTCACTATCCTGCACAGATCTTGGATTTTTGTCCCGGTACCATGAAGCTGCTGGCAGCCAGTGTAAACAAAGCAATAACAGAATACCATAAATGAAATACAGTGTGATCATGCTTGTCTTAGGGTGAAAGCTCAAGCTTTCCTTATATAAGAAGTATTCCTTACCATGGTTCCTCATGCATTTCTCTTAACATGTGGTAACTCTCTTTCCTAGAAAAATACAGAACCCAGTGAAAAATTCTGAGCACCTGTGTTCAGAGTATAGCAGCTCTGAAAGAAACAAGTCATGCTGATAAAATGTTCTTTGGGATCATCAGATACTCTTCCATCCTGTGACTGACTTGTTCTTGGCCTTATGAACCAAATCACTGCTGTCTGTTTTGTAGCAGCTGAGAATTGCTGGAGTACAGGGGGAATGTGGGAAAAGGAGACTTCCTTCCTTCCTTCCTTGTTGATACATCACAAAACAGTAAATTGAAAAAAAAAACAAACAAAAAAACACTGGAGTCCTGGTTGTTGAGTATGGCAAATGGGATATTTAGCTTACATAAATTATTTATTAAGAGAAACACTTTTTGACTCAAAGTCAACCTCTTTATAATTTCTATGTACTGCTGAGTGCCTTCAGAGCATTCCCAAGTTCTTGGACAACTCGACTACCCAGCTATGGAAGGCTCAAGAAAGAATGTAGTTCCTAATTATGTTGGATATACATACATTATCTGGTGGTTAATGTAATTTAATATTGAAAATAACTCTAAAAAGATTAACTTTTATGTCTTGATTAGCCCTTTTTTAAAAAAAAGAATGAAGATAGGTTTTATAAAACTTTCATTTGCAAGACACACTTTACAAATCCCTTTTAATGTATCCGTGTTTTTTTTCCTTGTATATTCTTACTTCTTGGTCATTTCTTTCTTTTTGTCAGACTGATTCCTCCTGTCCTTCCTGCATGCTCCAATCCAGAGTCCTGCACTGACTCTTTTTTCAAAATAGAACCATCAGAAATTTCCAGCGGCTGTTTTCTGGCTGTTATAGCAAGAGAGGTAAGAAAACTAAAATTTACAATCACTTCACAGTAGAGAACAATTGTCATTTTCCACAAAAAGAATACATAAATGGAACATGTGAGAATAATTAAATAAACCTGGTTGGTTTTTAAGATTTCTTGAAAAGACCAAAGAATTGGCGAGCTACAGCTTTTGTAGAAGTACCTTTAATTGAAATGTGCACAATGCTTTAGGCCGAGCACAGCTTTTCTACATGTACTTCTATTTTGGAGCAGTTGTGGTTAGAGCAGTCTCTTTATCTAGGTCTGTGCAAGGAATATTTTGGAGGAAACGTTGGTGTCAAACCTTAGAATGAGCTACGCAGCTTGGGATTAGACTCATTCTAACAGTGTCTAGTAAAGTTATTGGTTAGGTCTGTATGTATCACCAGGATGTGCCAGCATGCAAGCAGGCAGTGTCACCAGTATGGATTAAGACTGCATTACAAATTGTATTAAATGGATAGGAATGTTTCTTTTCTAAACTAAGTTATATGCAAATCTGGGCAGGGAAACTGCTGAATAAACAGAAAAGCCTTAGCATGATTTCCTGAAGAAAGACCTTAGAAGGATGGTTTGCATTTCTGAGTGTCATGCTTTTCATCTTTTGTGGCTGAGATATAAACTTTTTCACCAAAAGGGGGAGGGGCTTTCCAAGCCCATAAGGTTTAAATAACCATGCTGTGCAGACATTCGTCTACTGAAGTCCAGAACTCATTTTCCCTCTTCTGGCCTGTAGAGAGCAAAGTCTCTGGAATAGCAAGTGTTCAGACACCACACAACAGTCAGGTCCTTTATTTATTGAGCAAACAGTGATTCTGCTGTACCTTTCTTGTGGAGTAGATATCTGGGTTTACTGAATTGATTTTACAGCTGTTTCTTCAATTTATTATTGTTTCCTTTGAAATTTGCAGACAGACTCTTCCAAAAATGTGTCCACTAAAGATATTTTGTCTCACGCTGCAGCAAAAGGACTACTAGACAGCATTCTAGGTAAATCAAAGGAAGAAGAGAAGCAAGAGAAAGTAACGCAACGTGGAAGTGATACTGCTCATACTCGCATAGAGCCAAAGGCTGCTGAGGTCCCTCACCGTGAAGCTGTATCTAACAGGAAAGCTGCAGTTGTAGTATCCAAAGTTGAAAGCAAACGAAAAAAAAAGCCAACCAACCAACCACGTGATCATGTTCAGCTGAAGAAACCTACCATCAACACAGTTTCAGATGCAGGTGTTTCTAAAATGCCAAAGCACACATCTGTTGTCAAGGTGCACAGAAAGCAGACACAAGCTAGAAAGCCACGTGCAGAATGTAAAGAAATGGTCGCACTGAAGATAGTGGAAATCGTTTTTCCTCCAGTGATATCACCGTATGGACATCCTCAAGGAAACCAACCCAGGATGCCAGCTCATATCTCTCTGCTCCAGTCCAGACAGAGGAATAGAAGTTTGAGGGGTAGAGAACCTCCTCCACCTGTGTCTAAAGTGGTCAAACCAACAGTGCTTAGAAATTCTCAATCAGGGCTGTAAGAATCTTCAAACTTTCCCCTAGCTTTTTATAAAAGGTAAAGATTCCTGTATATATTTATTCACGCATGTAGATTGCAATATACCTTTATTCATTAGAATCTCATTGTGAGACTAATTCTCAGATATTTGCATGGAATTAGCTATGTTAGCTGTTTAAAACCAAAAATTACATTTTAAAGTAAATGCAGCTCAGTTGCATAAGGCTGATAGACCACAGACGGAGTAAGGTGAAAAATACTGCAGCTTTTGCTATAGACTTTAAAATGACAAGTTACAGCATACCGTTTTTATAATTACTTTTTGGACTGTGACACATAGAAACTAAGCCTCGCACAGTAAGCAAGTTAGTTCAGTTTTATCTCTCAAGATGTGAATTTTTCTACAAACAGCTGTCCAAGTACATTTGAACCCGTATGCTTTCCAATATTAATTCCTTTGGTTTCCACTCACAGGTGCTTAAAAATATTATAAGGGGAAACTATATAAATATTACATTGCATTATGTCAATTCAGTATTTTTAGTCTATATTATAGCTCTTTTCACATCAGATAAGCTGCTATTATCCACGTAAGTTATTTTTATAAATAGTGTAACTATTTATCTGAATAATGACTGAACACAAGGACTGAAAAAGTTTGCCACAGTTCAGAAATCAGCAGTGGGAACCTAACCTGTTCCCCATTGCTAACAAATGCAGAATAAATGGTGAATATCTACATTTGTCTGCTAATCTGAGCACAATGTACTACGTGACTTAGTACTAAATATGGGCAGTATAAACAGAAAAAGTAACTCAGGAATTGTTAGCAATCATTCATTATGGCAGTTGGTAAGAGTTTATTTAATGTAAACACGCCAAATGTCAGCAATATGATATGGAATCTTAAAGATTTAGACCTGTGCAGAGAAAATGTTTTAACATCTTTATTTTCTTCCTGTCCACACCAGCCAACGTAGATGGATGAACTTTAGAAGAAGGGATGTATTACACCATCAGCATAGAGAACTGCTGCTTCTTCACCAGATAAATATTTCCACTTCACTGAATCAGTGAAAAATTCTGTTAATGTCTTTAACCAGAGTCGCCTGTTGTACTCAAAGGTATCATATCACTCACCTGCAATACATCTCTATGAGTAACCTATGCTCCTTACCTGGTCCAATAAAAGGAAAAGCTCTGTTTTTGTTTCTGAACAAACTTACCTAGACCTGTCTGTTTGCAATGCATAGAACTGGAACAAAAACTAAAAATCCCATGTTCTTTCAAATCACCTTCAAGGAGGATTCTACGTAATAGACAAAAGGAATGGAAAGTAGGGTTAGTTTGTTTTTGTTAAACGCCTAAAAGAAGCTTAAGAGACTCTTAAATTAGAGAAGTGAACATGAATATTTTTAAAAATGGAGATTAGTGTCTCTCATTTACTAAAGATTGATTAAAATGACTCCAAAATGAATGTGCTTTGGGCTTACACGTGATGTTCCACACTTGGCCTTTTATCTTGTTTTGAGGGAGCTGAGTCCTTCAGATGTTACGGAGACCAAACCAGTGGTGACCTTGATATCTTACCAAGAATACGAAAGAGCTAGCAGTGAAGATTTTAGTTCAGCAGGTTTACCAGCTTGCTTGGTGAGCACCGAACATCACCTGATGGCAACATCTGAGACTGACTTCAAAGGGCTTGTGGATAGGGGCCTGAACGCTCAATTAAACACTTCTTAAAAATAAAGTGAAGTGAAACTGTAACATATTTAACTAGTTCTCATTATCCCAGCTAAATATTTGTAATTTTCAACTAGAAGCCATTGATTCAGCTTTATAGATACAAAAGCCTCCATGGTACTGCTACTGACTCTAAACAGCCATCATATATTTTTCCCTTCCCTCAATTTGGAGCAAGAAAAGAAATAATTTCCCAGTTCCACGGACCAGCAACAGTTGAGACGATCATTTTATGCAGCCAAATTTATTCTCAGAACAGATTACATTTAAATGTGTAGAAGTGGACAACAGCAGGGGAAATGGCACTTTTCAGCATCAATTGGGTGCTCTATGCAATGCTGAGCTCTGCTAGTAACCAGTGGGTGTGGGTCCACATAAATCCAATCTACTTTTGCTGACTGTGTAGCACAAGTTTTTAGCAATGTATGAATTAACTTGCCCAAGGAAAGAATAATGGCATTAAAGGCTGAACCCACATAAGCTGCTGAAATAAGAAAGTGCTGTTTTGCATGGGTGCTTTACCAACAGTTATACATCCCTAATAAAATAATCATCTATGAAATACTTGATAAAATTAAAAAAAAAAAAAGGGATGCAGAACTCTTAGGAAATGACACAGACCTGGAATAAGCTGCCAGACACACCAGAGCCTCTCTTCCTGTCACAAAAAGGCATGTTGCTTCAGCAGGCACAGGTATCTCCACACACAGTGTTATTGTGAGTTGGTTGTAGGCCACTTCCACGCAATTCCTGTTATTTCTATTTAAAGTCCTCATAGTTGTCTCTGTAGCCTTGTACCTCCCACACCACTTCTCCCCCAGTGAGACAAGTGAAACAAACAGTGACTTAAAGAAAACCTACAGCCAGCACTGCGGATTTCAAAAGGAAGGCTTTTATATCTCATTTTTGATGGTGAATATAAATCTCCTTGCTTCTGCAAGGGAGCACATTAATGACGTGAGTGATGTGTGATACTTACCTCTAGTTTACTACTTGCATTGAAAAAAATAAGAAATTAGCTTCGCTTTACATGATTTTTCTACAGACTTCAATAAAAATGTGACTACAAATAATTACAAAGTTGCCTTTTCTTAGGCAACCTATAGTATACAGCGTAGAGAATGTTACAAGATCACGTCCAGTAAAGACAATACATCAACATCATAATGCAGGATATTTCAGTAAAAATAGAATAAATAAAATAAAAATATTTTAAGCTGTATTTAACAGGTTAATTTAAAATATGGCATCAGACATACAAGGCATAGTGAACGCACGGCTGCCCGCTTACAGAATCGCTAGGTATTATAAAAAATGCATAGATAACTGAAGGGTTGCTATAACATCAAATAAAACACTGGTAGTTACTCAGACACGTGTATGCCATACATACATTTTTGGCCATGTTTAAAGAGTGCCTCAGTAAGTTGTTTTATAAAAGACAACGAGCTCTGCAATTTTAGGTGTTGATTCTGCAAACACCTGGGTGTGTATTTAACACTTTAAAAACTCAGGAGTTCTACTGAAGCCAAAAGGCCACATATTTTGGCCCACTAAGCAAACTACTTAATTATTTGCAAAATCAACAGCATTTTGGTAACAGACAGGAAATTCAGGGGACCTACAGCTTTTCAAATACCTTTCTCTCTCTTTCCCCTCAGCCCTTCCTGCAGTTGCACATTTTTGCCAGTGAAAACTCTATGTTCAGAGCCTTGTCAACACAGATGTGTAAAGACTCCTGACACAGCTTCTTACCTTTACACTGCTGTTTCCCAAGAGTTGGTTTGGTTTAAACATGGACTGTTTCTCTCTTGGGGAAAAGTAGCACTGTGTAGACAACACTACTTAACTTGATTATACTGTTAAAAATTCTTTGTTGTAAAACAAATAAAAATCCTGGAGTTTCCACCTGGAACTTTAAAAAGAATGATGCTGTCAAAATATTTTCAGTATATAAAACAAAGTTTGATTCAGTAGTCTTATGATTAATAAGGAAACATCCTTTAAATTCACAATCTCGCTTAGCAACATTGTGAGCCACTGCATTTTGATAGCAGCCACGAGAGGAAATGATTTTTTTTTACACTGTTCCTGTCAGGCTTAAGTGGGATCAGCACTTGAATCTGGAGAAACAGGACTAAGTTGGTACACAAGCTGTCATCTCCATGCTTTGAAATCTGGCTTCACGGTCAGTTCAAAGACTACTGAAAGGGGAGGGTTTGCCTTACCTCCCCTCCTGCTCTCCCTATCATCTGCACAGCCACGTGGCCAGCTGGGTCAATTTTGGGGTTTACTCACGTTATGCAGACTGATCTTCTCCTCCAACTGCACAAGCAATGGAGCTGGTCCAAAGGAGGCAGCAGGAACGTGAGACTTGGGATGGGACAGAATTGCTTCGCTGCCCAGGGTGCAAAAACTCTATTACGCAGAGGTTTGAGATCATAGAATCACCAAGGTTGGAAAGGACCTCTAAGATCATCCAGTCCAACCATCCACCTATCAACAACATTTCCCACTAAACCATGTTCCTCAGGACAACATCTAAACATTTCTCGAACATAGTGGAGGATCAGCTCCTTAGAAGGTATTCTAGAGAGCTCCATTTAGATTATAGCTGCATGGCTAGCCTTCACCTACATTTGCTCATACATCAGGCTAAATGTGTTTTCATAGCTTTTCTACATTTCTAATGAAGGCGTTTCTTGAATCATCACTCTTTTCCCTTGTATTCTTAACAGGTTTTGCCCAGGTATTGCTGTTGACTTTTTAAAATAAGAAAAAAAATCATTATTTGTTCAGAACAATCTTGTTTATAACAATCTCTGGCACAGTAAAGTAAAAAAAATGGTTCTTGTAAAAACAACGTTGACAACGTCCTTCTAAAATTACAGCATGACCAAATTTGCAGACTTGGGAGACAGATACAGTTTGGAACATATATATAAATGCAGGCAAAACATTTTTAACATTAGTTAAAAATATCTTTTATGTTCCATTTTCAAAATTTGTACCAATCTGCAGGTCTAAACAGGAGATGGCAAAGAGAGAAAGATGCATAGCTGCATTTGAAGATCAATACAAGACAAAATTTTAAAGGGGCATTTCTGTGCTGACTTTGTCAGAATCTGCAGTTGTGTGGATCAAGCTATTACAGGAGACCTTTGGAGCAAAAGCACTGACATGAAGTTGTCCCACTTGAAACAACATCCTGTTAGAAAACAACTCTCGTGATTTTGTCACAGACCATTAAAAGAATTCCCATTGAATTTAGTAAATAATCAGAAACATGATTGTTCTTTTTTGTGGCATGCTAACTATTTAGCAGCAAACTCAGAGGGGGAGTAGTGCAACCCAACACTGAATGGAACATTTGATCAAACACTCATATAGAAAACATCTGTAACGTTTTTGCTTCTGTGAGAGTTTTAAGACAGTAAAACTACTGACTAACTCTTTCATGGTCAGTAAGAGCCCTGTGTGGAACAAACAGTATTTTTGATGAATTAATGACAATTTGGGATGACATATTTAACATCCAACACGTGCTTCTGTATGTTTAAAGATGAAAAGCTTCAATGGATCACCCTGTACTCAATTACAGAAAACACTCCCAGATTTTTCAGCATTGGTTTGGTATCAAACAATTCCTGTCTACAACTGTAATGTACAAACGGAGATCAAATGACAACGATTCACACGAACGTCAGGCAGACCAATGCTGACAAACAATTTAAAATTAACAGGTTAGTTCTGTAAAAAATAAAACTTGGTATTTAATCTGCAGTAATTCAATGGTAGCTGATCCTTGGTATCTACTCCAGTGTTGAGAACCGAAGCGCTGTAGGACCTAAGATTGGTTTGTGACAAATCCAGCTCAAGACGGTGAAACTATCAACTCAAGCGCCATTCACTCCAAGGACTTTAGCATGAGTTCACTGGGAAGGACGTGGCCATATTCTTTCTTTGTGTGAGTTCAGGTAATGTTCACATATTTACAATCAAACAGACCTTCCATTGCTCATGATGTAACTTACTGACAGGAAAAAAATTATTCATGCTTCTTTTCATATCAAACGATGGTGGCAAGAACGAGATAACATGCTTGTCTAGCATTGCTTTGATACGGATAAATTCTCTTAAGACAAAGCATCAGCAATTTGGAACGGAAGGCCAAACACCATCAGTTCATTTCCCTTAGTGTAGCTACTGTTATCTGCAGTTAAATGTTAGGAGAATCTTCTCTCTTATGCAGCTACGGCATGTCGGTGACTGGGCGTTTCTGTTTCAAAGTGTCAATGAGGGACAGCACTCCTCTCTTTACATTGGTTGTGACTCTCCTGGTCACCGAATCTGCAGGTGGTGGGGGAGGCCGAACTTTCTGCGAAGGAGGCCTGGCCACTAAGCACTTCTGATACCGTAACTGCAACAAAGCAGAAGCATTCTGCACTCCTTACTGTAGCCATTACTTTCAGTGCATTTAAAATACATTTAAAATACTTTCTCATGAAATACAGTCAAACTTTCACTCTGACTGTGACAAACAACCCCGATGACGTTAATGAGACATTGGTCTGTTAGACTTTTAGCAGAAACTGTTCTTTAGCACATGACAGATACTACATCATAGCAACAACTCTTTGAAAACTGAAAAATAAGTTTTCTTAAACAAGGACTATTTTTCACTACATTGTCACTGAGTTACATAGAAATATTCTTCCAGTGTTAGATAACTTCTGTAACTACAGAACAGATATTACACAGGTGTTGAGGAGTTCAGGAGATCAAATGTTAAAAGAGCAGAGTTCACTAAATCAACATTTCAAGCTTATTTTCAATTTACCAGGTATATCAGAATCCAAATTGCTAGGTTTTGTATCTCAAGAAATTAACTGCACATTTGGAAATACATATACTGAGGTAGTAGGAAATCTAAGTACTATTAGATGCCTTTTCAAGAAAGTCACTTACCATACAAGCAGCCTGAACAGCTTCTGATACATTGCCTGCATTTGGTTCACACCAAAACACATGGCACTCAAAATGCTGGTTTCCTGTATCCATAATGAAGGCAAATGTATGAACATCCTTGCCTACTCCCATGAAGGACAGAAACCGCACACGACATTCCACCATGATTTCCTCTTCATTCTGGTTATGAATAAAATGATTGTTCATTACTGTCAGATATCCTATGAAATTTTACTTTCAGTGTTAGGTTGATTAAGAAGGGAGAGAACACTGATACAATGAAATTTCTTCTGCAATCTGTGTATACTTGCTGTGCAAAGGCCTGGGCTGAGTCCTCCCTTCTAGGCTACCAGCAGAACACAAGGGCTTTGAGCCTCAGAACTGAAGCATATCATGCACTGTAGTACTGCATGTTTAAAGTGGATGTGGCATTTTTGTGAAGAAATGCATGGCTACTGTGACTTCTAAAGATAGTCCCCTATTACTGGTATGCAGAGATGTGGCTTTAGGACCTAATCAACAGATGCAGATGTGGAACATTCTTTGAAGGTTTCATTTTATTGACTTCTATGAAAAATGCTCTACTAAAGGACAGTGACGTGAAACACAAGTTGTAGTCTTACTCTTGGCTTTCATAGAAAAAATAAAGAAAATACAGGTTAGAACTTAGGATTGCTCCTTACAGCTTAACCTACAACATTTTAGACTCAAAATTTCTAGGAAGGATAATACCATGTTCATTTTAAGCATCTAAAGGTTACTTATAATTTATGTTTCTAAGGACATGCTTGGAATGGTAAATAAAGCTGAAGCTGACACTAGTAGTTGTAAAACAGTGATACAGCCCTACAAAGGAATAAAATGCAAAAAAGGTAAATGAAGTCCAGGAAAAATGAACACTTTCTTCTAATGCTCATGAGTTCCTGGTTTTCAGCACTTGTGTTAAACATGTTTTGAACATGACATTCTGCCTTACTCTTTCACTAATGACTGTGACAGTAGCATCAGCAACATTCATGGTAACTGGCATCCAATCTTCCTTGCTAGAGGAAGCCATCAGACTTTCAATAGCGCTGTTCAGAGTATCCATTCCTAAAACAGAAATAAATGTGTATGAGTAAACAATATTATTTTCACACAGCAGTACACAGTAGTAAATTGTATTGAACTTGGTAAAATGAATATGATGATGAATTTTGAAGCTGGTTTTCTTCATCTGCAGAAGCAAATCAGGTGCCTCTGGCATATTAAAAAAGCATTAGCATCTTGTTATCTGCTGCACCATTTCAGTTATCTAAGGCCCTTTAGTAACAAAGCTCATATTCAGAGAAAGCAGTAAAAAGAAAATGCTTTCTTACCAGCTCCCAAAGTACTCTGGTTGCACAACACACATTTATTTGAAGCACTGAATGCTAGACATTTTCATCTCTGGCTCTTAAGACTCTGAAGTTCAGGAACTGCTCCCATTCCAAAATCATGCTCTTACACTTGGCTAGTCAGAATCCAGCCCTTAAGAGTTTATGCAAGTTCCCTTTGAAGTCACAAATATATAACACATACCCACAGGTTTAGCTACAGGTAGCATTCCCAGGTACTGGACGTGGAACTTCTGCACCAGTTCTGTCTTTGGTGTTGGGAAATCTACTGCATGGGAACAAATATAGATTTCTATTTATTGCTACTCACAGCTTGGAAAAAGACTTTCATTTCATCAATAACCTAAAACAGTTTATCAAGTAATTATACTCTGAAGGTATTGTACTAATTAAAACAAACCTCCACTCCCTCTGACAAGACTAATGCCAAATAATTTCTAAGGGAATTAGAATGTTGCATCATTTAATTCTTCATCTACACTAAAAATAGGGTCACATTATGCTACTGGCATATTAAAAAAAGAAAAAACAACAAAAAATATAAATGAATGTGCCTTTGAGACATAGAGACCTATTTTTCACTGCATAACTATGTAAAATCTGGAATCTTTTTAAGATCATCCATTTTAATATGTTCAACACAAGCTATGAGTAATCAATACTGCTGTCTAGCAGAAAATTACACAAGTTGATGTATGGATTAGGAGTAAGGTAATCAGGATGAACTGCTGCATCTGAAAGCATCTAGTTTCCTGTAAAGCTAACACATGGTCCATTTATTCTCCTGGAGAATTTTCTAAACAGCAGCTATTAAGTTTTGACTAATAAGGCATGCAAAGGCAACTTTCTTTTGCCGTGGGGTAGAAGAATGTGCAAAAGACCCTCAAGGTGGATGACAACCCACTTGTATCTTTTGCCTTGGAAGCTGCCAAAATTGTGGCGAAACCTGGAAGGAGCAGTCCTACATGAATCCATGTGATTGACTGAAGCATATTCTGCTTTTAGGGCAAATTTGGCTGATTTGTGCAGTCTCAAGAAGTACTTTGATACTGGACAATATATGCAAGTAGCCACGAGTAGACAAACTGTGTTTGCAAGAGTTGTATTTTAAAATAAAAGACAGAATGTACAAACTGACATAACTTAGCAGGACTGTGTTACTGTGAACAGGATCAATAAATAAAAATGTTTAATACAATACCAGCTTAGAGTCAGATACAGTGGTTAAAAGACTCTCCAACCAACAGGCACCATTTTGGTCAGAAACAGCATTAGAAATAAAAGCATATCTGAAATAGCACCATCCCATGGACATGAGCAGTAACACATGGTACCTTGCAGAGGAACATCAAGGGTGACGTTTGTCCTCTCCTGCATTGAACTGCAAGCCATAGCTTTAGCATTCTTCCGTTCAGCCATAATCTGAATAAGATAGTGATAATGCAGCATTTTTTTTTTTCAAAGATGTTGTAAAATAATAACTCCAAGTATCAGTCTACTCCTATTAGAACTCTAATTTCCAAAATTAGTCAGAAACTACACGACAAAACAAGTTATTCTTCACAAATTACTTCAGCTTGCCCATGGCTTATTCACCATTATTTATCTACATACTGAACTTAAGTTCAAGACTAGATGAAAGAAGAATGGAAGAGTTAAAAAACTAGCCATTTTTATCAACAGAAAAATTGTGAGGCGTAATATTGCAAGAAACAAATATTTAACACACAGAGAAGTATGTTCATTATTCATGTACCTCTCTGATCTATCTTCTGCTGCATGTCATTTTTTCTTTCATTTTTATGTTTCTTCTGGCATTAAAAATTCCACGCAAAATGCAACATGTTCCTCTCCCACAATACAAACAAAAGAGGAAAACACTTCAAAACAATCACTTTGGATGATCATTCCCTATAAATACACATCTGGGAAGGGTCCCAGGGAAGTTAAGGGATGTTTTCCAAAATATGAAATGTTGTTATCTGCTTCTTTAACACTGATGATCGTTGGTAGTAATTAAGCTATAGAGATGACTGGAGTTCCAGGGAATGACACTTGGTCTGAAGATACTTCTGGCTAATTTACCTTTTTATTTATTTTTCCTTTCTCCCTTTTTACCTTTTTTTTTTTTTTTTTTTTGCTAGGTTTCATGTTTGGGAAGTACTATCTTTCATGGGGACACATGGCAGTATTCCCTCTTGAGGATGAAAAATGATACTCCCCAGCTTAGGGAGAAGCCCTGGCTCAGCAAAGAGGTCAAGTATGTGCCAGATAGCAGATGCTAGGTGCTTTGCTGAATCAGGATTGCATCTACTGCTGAATTATGAAGGAACAACTCTCTGCTCAACAGCACCATTCTCTTTTATTCTCTGTTACTATTAGCTGTAAACGTTCAGTCACTCTGTGATCCAGTATTGCCAGGAATTTCATGCCACAATTACATGACAGCTTTCCTGCCTTTCTGACAGCAGAAGTCAGATACCCCATGCATTTACTTGATGTTGTGCTTACTGGACAAAATAAACTTTTGTAGGGATGTACTTTTCCCTGCTAGACTTGCTAGAAAAATCTGTGAGAGCTGACTTGGAGGAGAAAGATGAGAGACAGCAAGTCCAGGCATCTCCAGTGAACCACTGCTGCAGTGATGCTGTCCAGCGGCACCCGGAACGGTCCCTGCCACTCCCAGCCCCACCAACAGTCAGGGCAGCCTGTCAGTATATTTTTAAAAAGGTGAATGCAGCCTCAAATCCATAGCTCAATAAAAGAAATAAAAACAGTTTCAAGCACTCTGGCTTAAGTATCTCCCTATAAAGCCTTTCAAACATTTTTTTCAGCTGTAAAAGATGTGCTGTCACAGCACTACAAGACATTGCCATACTGAGGACACTCATGAACTGATCATGCAAGAAAATTAAAATTAATAACCAGGGAATGTTGGCAGACTAACATAAAATGACTGAAGAGAACAGTTGTCTCCAGTATTACAGACAGTGCTGCTGCAGGAACTAAGATCCTTCTATCGTTTGTCAGCTTAACTCTCCCCCTTCTCCCTGATTTATTTTAATTGGGCAGCATAACACTGGCAACTATTTTCATGCCTGTCCTGCTTAAAGCGTACCATTCAAACAAGGTCTAATTTATTTACAAAGTTACACACCACCACTGATCATTAATTAAAAGGATGTGCTCTTTTTTCATTTTCAACACACAACTTCTTTATTACACAAGAAGACTCTCTGTATATATGCTTATCAATGAAATACAAGTATCACCATCCTCAAATCTAAATGCACATCCTCCCACTGCTCCCATTCCTTTGTATCCTTTACAAACTCCCTGTATCATTTCTGGCTGCCAGAGATATAAAGCTAACAGTGTGAGGTTGCTGACTGTGTGTATTACACTGAGGCTCTCAACAGACTTGTGCAGATGACTTTACACCCACTTACCTTTGAGCAGATTTCGTGTAAACTTGTGGCGATGGCTTTTGCTGGCGTGTCACATCGAAACACATGACATTTCAGAATTCTGGTGTCTTTGTCTCTTGCCACATATGCAAAGTCTCTGCACAAACAAAATGAATCGACACATTAGAAACAGTAATACCTGCAGTCATCTCTCCTTTAACATGTGTATGTTTCAGCTATTAGAGAATAAAACACATCTTAGACAATGCAGATCTACAAATTTAATACACTGCATACCTATGAAAAAATACATAAGCATTGATGATTAATCTATATAATTAAACAGCTCATTACAGTTTCATAACAATTTATTGAACACAACACCCATAACTCCAAAATCAATTGTAAATACATAGAAAAATAAGTACTTACTAAAGGCAAAGGAGAAAGAGAATTACAGGATAAGACAAAAAACACATGCAGCTTTTAAATGCTAAAAGAATGAAAAATGGCAAATGATGGTCTAGGTAGAAAAGGAACGCATTTTGAAGGACTATACAAAAGTGTTTAAAACATGCAGATAGTAATTAGAGATCTGGTTGCATAAGGGAGATGTGAACCTGCTGAGCTTTGCTCAAACTAATTGGCCTAAATATCTGACCTTATTTTTTCAAAAATTAAATAAGGATTCTCTATGAAAGAGATTTTCTGCACTGTTCCAACTAGTCGCCTCAACAGAGTACAGCCTTCTGAAGCCAGTATGGTGCTTCCTCGTTCTCAGGCTGTTTAAGTGCTGATGTGCTTCTGAAGAAGTCAAAGCATGAGCACGGTGTAAAGAAAGCGTCAGGGTTGGACATGTTAGATACTGAATTCAGGGCTGTCCCTGCTCTAAGAGCCCATCACTCTGTCCCTGTAGTGCTAATTTGCTTCACGACCCTCCTGGGATGGAGGCTAATTCACCCTTTCACAGAGGAGGAACCTGAGGCTGGTTCTGCAGCACAGAAAAGCATGCCAGGATGCTGATGGCTGATGGAGAGCTGGACTTCCAGCCCCACAGCAGACAGGAGCACTATCCTGAAGTTCAGCACATTGCCTGTATTTAGTGTGGCAGTGCTAGGTTTTGTCAGTGATGAATCCTCACAACAAAGGAGTGGCTGCCCCTAGCCTGGATGCTTATAGGCAGGTTGGAGCTCTTCCTCTGCTTTGGTGTGTCTGCATGTGTGACACAGGCACCCTACCGAGGGACAGTGCTGGAGTAATGACATAGGCATGTCTTAACCCAACAACTCATGACTTGTGGCAAATCCCACAGCAAAAATCCCAGAAGAGGTTGTCTGTTAAGATGCCTGGAGGTCTTCCCGTTCCAGCCCCACTCCCAAATACCTCAGCCACAATCTACAAGAGCCTTTCAGCACTTTTTTCCCTTTTGCTGCACTGCAAGTTCATCAAGATACTGAACATCCTGGGAACAACTGAAGTATTTTTTCTACACAAGCAAAGCCTTACTTTAGAAGGGCTCCTTCCTTCCTGAACATTTTGAAAATAAAATAGAGATTTCCATCTGGAATTGCATGCAAAACAAACATGCTGGCTGTGATCTTAGGTGCAGGCTAGCAAAGATGCACAAGCAAGCAACCTGCTGCAATACCTCATTGCTGGATCAAGTCCTGTTCATTTGGTGTGATATGGCTATTTATTACTATTTGGAAGCATTAACCTCAAATTGATAATATTCCTTCAAGGATGTGTAAATGAGTGATTTACAGGTTCTTTACAAGATGAGTAGTTGTATTACCCTGCATTGTTTTGCTGAGTAGCCTGTGCTATGCAGACCCCCATTCAAATAAATAGAAACCTGGAGCCCAAGGAGCACTGCAAAGCATCAGGATGAGATGGGGCCATTACCTGTGAGGGGCTGCACAGACACAGAGTATAACTTGCACCTCCTGGTAGCTTAAAAGTTATCAGCTAGAAACTTGTCATTAATAAAAATAAGATAGGACAAAGCGAGTATTGGAGGTCTGGATGACATACTACATTGCCAGCCAAAACCAAGTTCAAGCAGCCTAAGAATGGCTGGTCTGATCTCAGCAGTGAAATGACAGGGCTGGTAGGCAAAGCCTCCAAACGCACGTCAGGAAGCACTCTCCACCACAGATGTCTTCATGCTCCTACTGCTTCCTCTGGCATTTGCCCAGGGATAACAAGAAATGCCTTTTCTCCACCCTGTGAAGTCCTACTCAGGCACCATCAGCCTGAAGGAGCAGGAGAAGCAGCACTTCGATGGGACACTGTGTACCAAGCAGCCAGGAGGCCTCAGCCTCAGACAGTCTGCTCCTGCTGCTACGGTAAATATTCCTGCATTAACAGGACACATGTATAAGCAAGGTGGTGTGAAATTACAGTGCAATTACAGCAGCAAATGAGACACCAGCTAGCACATCAATCTTGACTACTGAGAGCTAATAAAGCCCGCATGGCGGTGTTTGAGACACACACACCAGTGCCTTACTTTAAGTACCTGAACAGCTTGAACAAAGTAAATCAGCTAATTACATATGGAAATTGTGAACATGCATAAACCTTTAGATGATCATCTGTAAGCCTGCTGAGGCAGAGAAGGAAATCCAAGCTCCTCAAAACCGATGGCAGTGTATCACACATAAGTCTGCCAGCGCCAGCTGTTTTCAAGTCATCAATCAAAATTAGCAAGCACATCATCCACTTCTGTTTTGACAGAGCACAAACAATACCGCTGATTCCCTTAATTCCTGAAGTCACCTACCTGCCACGCTCTGAGAAGCACCCCAGCAGGCAGGCTGGCAGCAGGGACCTGATGCAGCCTGGTGTTGTGAAGCACAGGGAGAGCAGAGCTCTCTGTGGGAAGAAGGGCATGGCTTTGATCACTCCGTAGTAACTGCTCCCAAAACCATAGCTAACAGAATAAAACTCTGGAGCAACATTTCCCTACACAGGACCAGAAGGCAACAATTTATTTGTTCAAAGCCTTGAATATCAAGTAAACCCCAAGACTACTCTCTGATGCTTCTTTTACTTCAGATCCCTTCTGGGTCGCTTACTCTGTAAACCTTCATTCCACAGCAGCTCACTTGAAGCTGATTAACATCTAAGTGAGATTTATAGGCAACCGGTCCCTTCAATAATGAAGAAGTGCTGAGTAACGTGCTTGCAATAGAAATTTATGGAAAAGGGCAAATACCTCCTCACACCGTTCCCTTGCCTTTACATCTTGCTAGGAAAACAAGGGAAAGAAGAAACTGAGAAGCCTTTAAGAAATCCAGGGCAGGATACAAAGCTAGCACAGAATGAACAGATCCCTATCTCATCCAGATGGAGTCTTGCCATTCTCCGTGGGATGTGGGCACATGTGAAATTAGCAGGATTTGAACCACAGCTCCCATTAAAATTCCCTTCATGTCAGTGGGGAGAGCAGCAAAACGTTTAGTGGAAGAACAGTGTATTGCATATCTATATTCCTACAAGTTCACAACACAAGCAGATCCCAGAAGGAGCACTGGGATTTATTTTTTAATCATTTGCACATACAGTACCTTATCCACTAGTACATTTCAGGACATAGGAACTGGTTGTAAATTAGTAGCCTGGAAAAAGCCAGAAAACAGACAGAAAATGTATTTTGCTGCACAACCAGGTAAGACTGGCTCTGCTGAATAGTTTAAAATACAACTGAGAGACATTTTAAAAAGCAATTAGAGAACTGCAAAGATAATGTAAGGTGCTAAGTGGAATGGAATTTCATTTTTATTTGCTCCTTTACCCTCCTTAATTGGCAAATGTCTACAGTAATTGACTAGAACTTAGATAGCCATACCTATTTAACACCTGGCTAGGCATCACTTAGCTGCTCAACCCTGGATGAATATAATCACACTAAATGTGATTTATGCTAATGCTGTTCTGTTTGAATAGCAGTCATGGCCATTTGCCACTATTAGGCTACAGTCCTAGGAGACATCCCAATTAAGTAGGGCCTGAAAAAAAACCACATTTTCCACTGCCTTTTCTTACTTTTCCAAAGGAGTGTAGAACTGCATTAACCCTTATTTAAAAAAAAAAAAAAAAAAAAAAACCTAGCCTTGAACCTGGAAATAAGGAAATTTCTACTTTTTCCAATGAAAACTGAATTGCAAGTATTTAGAACAACTGTATTAACACATGCAGGAAAATGTAAATTGCTTTGCAGATTTATGTATCACAAATTTTAACAAGAATCCCTGAAGAAGAAAATGATATCCTATAGGCTCAGCTTAAAATTGATTCAAATTCACCCAAAAGTGCCTCCAGAAAATGACTATTTCTATATACCAGTGTGCACTGTATGTATACTTTGTGTCCATGGGGTCAAAGAGCACACCCTGCTGGGCTACAGTGAAACAAGCTCCTGAGCCCATAATCTTCAGATTTTGCTTTGCTTTACTGCAAACAGCTGCCCAGAGATTCGTGGAAAAGGAAGGAGAAAGGAGAGAGGGGAGGGTTGTGGAAAAAAAACAAAAAGAAGAAAAAAGGGGAGAGCAGCCACCACAATGGCAGAGTGGGGTCAGAAGCCATCTGGCAGGAGGCTGCCATTCACACACAGTGGGATAGACAACACAGTGTTCATGAGAGCAGAATAAATGAGCAGAGGAGAAAAGCAAGGAAAGGGAGAGAGGTCACATGAGAAGAAAAGGGGATAAATATTAACACCAACATACCCATTCTTTCATGAGGCTTTTTCCAAGGCACAAGTATTCTAATGTCACAATGGCAAGCAAGGTTAGGTGCAGGAAACCATGCAGTAAAGATACATTACAAAAATTAAAAGATCTTCTGGCAATTCTAAAAATGTACAAAAGCTTTGCAATTCTTCTTTGCTCCAACAGCTCCAGTTTGCAGAGCTCTTGCTGCTCAATCCCAACCCAGTATGGCAGGAAGGTCCACCATTACACATCCTGGTCATGAGTTTTTGGCCTAGGTAGTTAAGATCCTCTCTGAAGCAGACAGAGATATCTAGGAGTCTTTTCTTATTTCAGTCCTCACAGAAAAAATAATAATAATAAAAATAAAAGTGTACCCTTGAAGCAGTAAATCAGTTCTGCATTTATTAAATTCTCCTGAAAGGGCACTGGAACAGTGTAG